GCCTGGCAGAGCATCACCAGGGATGAAACCCAGCGTCTGGTGATGTCTATGCGTTCCAGACTTCGGGCTGTAATTGACTGCAAAGGATTTGCAACCAAGTATTAAAAAGTGAAAGTTTGATTTATGATTATTATTCTGTCCCATTACTTTTGGTCCCTTAACAAGTGGGAGGCACATATGCAAACTGTTGTAATTCCTATACCGTTCACCTGATTTGGATGTAAATACCCTCAAATTAAAGCTGACAGTCTGCAGTTAAAGCACATCTTGTTCATTTCATTTGAAATCCATTGTGGTGGTGTATAGAGCCAAAAATGTTAGAATTGTGTCGATGTCCCAATATTTATGGACCTGACTGTATGTGTTGTGTGCTCATGCAATATTCTTGCAAGTAGATGTTGCAGTGTACTATTCTTGTACATTTCTTCTGTTCAGCAGCAGTCAGTAGTCACAGATGTATTCATTCCTGAATTAGTTGAACACTGTGCTGACAGTGGTGCATACAGGTACTACATGTGCTTATTTTTATTTATTGTCCTTCACAAAAATGAGGTTAATTATTGACATTATTCTGACATAGGTTTTTTGGTAACATGTTACAAAATAAAAAAGCCAGATTTTTATATTTTCACTGTCCTTTATGTCTTTTGCTCTGCAGGTTTCTGTGCTCTCATGCTGGTCAGTTTCACTGTAAACTGACCAACATTGTCTTTGAGATGAAAGGGAATGGGGAAGTGCTGTACACAGTAGTGTCCTGGGATAACAGTCAGTTGCAGGGCATGGACCAATTCCAACCTGCAGGACCCCTGTACAGCATTAACATTGCTCTGAAGGTTCAATTCTTTATCTGCACCTCCCACACTGAGAGATACATACTGGTAAGATCATTTTGGGTTAATGTTATGATTGTAATCAACCTAATAAAAGAGAAATGCAGAGTTATATGTGAGAAATAACATGAGATCTAACTGAAACATAAGTTGCACACACATAAAAAGTGGGAAGGCTGGTTTTTTTTTTTTACTGAGTCATATTTAAAAATCATATATATATAAACAGATCAGCCATAACATTAAAACTACTGACAGATAAAGTGAATAACATTGATTATCTCATTACAGTGGTACCTGTCAAGGGGTGGGATATGTTAGCAAGTGAACAGTCAGTTCCTGAAGTTCATGTGTTGGAAGCAGGAAAAATGGGCAAGTGTAAGAATCTAAGTGCCTTTGACAAGGGCCAAATTGTGATGACTAGACGACTGGGTCAGAGCATCTCCAAAACAGCAGGTCTTATGGGGTGTTCTCAGTATGCAGTGGTAAGTACCTACCAAAAGTGGTCCAAAGAAGGACAACCAGTGAACTGGCATCAGGGTCCTGAGAGCCCAAAAGCTCATTGGTGCACAGGGTGCCCATCTGGTCCAATCCCAAAGAAGAGCTAATATAACAAAAACTGCTGAAAAAGTTAATGCTGGCTATGATAGAAAGGTGTCAGAACAAACAGTGCATTGCAGCTTGCTGTATATGGGGCTGTGTAGCCACAGATTGGTCAGAATGCCCATGCTGACCCCTGTCCGCTGCCAAAAGCGCCTACAGTGGGCACGTGAGCATCAGAACTGGACCATGGAGCAAAGTAAGAAGGTGGCCTGGTCTGAGGAATCATGCTTTCTTTTTCATCATGTGTACAGCTGGGTGCATGTTTACCTGGGGAAGATATGGCACCAGGATGCACTATGGGAAGGAGGCAAGCCAACGGAGGCAGTGTGATACTCTGGGCAATGTTCTGCTGGGAAACCTTGGGTCCTGGCATTAATATGGATGTTACTTTGACACATACCACCTACCTAAACATTGTTGCAGACCAAGTACACCGCTTCATGGTAACGGTATTCCCTAATGGCAGTGGCCTCTTTCAGCAGGATAATGCACCCTGCCACATCGCAAAAAATGTTCATGAATGGCTTGAGGAACATGACAAAGAGTTCAAGGTGTTGACTTGGCCTCCAAATTCCCCAGATCTCAATCCAATCAAGCATCTGTGGGATGTGCTGGACAAACAAGTCTGATCCATATAGGCCCCACCTCGCAACTTACAGGACTTAAAGGATCTGCTGCATACATCTTGTTGCTAGATACCACAGCACACCTTCAGAGGTCTTGTGGAGTCCATGTAGAGCTGTCTGATGGCACAAGGGGGACATACACAATATTAGGCAGGTGGTTTTAATGTTATGATTGATCGGTGTATATGGACTTGTTATGTAATCAATGAACAACTGTGAATTATGCCAATGAGCCAAAACATTATGACCACTAATATGCCTAATATGCTGTTGGTCCTCTGCCAAAACAGCTCCAACCCATTGAGGCATGGACTCTACAAGACCGCTGAAAGAGCCCTGTGGTACCTGGCACCAAGACTTTAGCAGCAGATCCTTTAAGTCCTGTAAGTTGTGAGGTGGAGCTGCTGCAGACCAGACTTGTTATTCCAGCACATCCCATAGATGCTGAATCGGATGCTGAATTTGGAGGCCAGGGCAACACCTTGAACTGTTCGTCATGTTCCTCAAACCATTTTTGAACAACGTGTGCAATGTGCATTATGCTGCTGAAAGAGG